GACCCGTGTTCAGTCATGGTCAATTATACGTTGATGTGTCTCGAGTCACTAATCCATATGGATTGAAGATATTAATATGTGGGGACGATAATGGGGAAAAGAAAACTAATAAGTTTTCCACTATTTGTAATACCCTACAATATTGTACTTTACTATCTATTCAATAATAATGTTTTTTATTTGTCATTTACTTTTTATTATATATATATATTAATGTATTTATTAAAACATTTTAATAAATATGTTCCGTGCATCGCACGGGTGAAGATACTAGTTTATATTAAGTACATGCTTATTTTTTTAAACAGGGACAACATGAACATTCACATATATGGATGGACTGACAAAATCTGAAAGTAGATGTCTCGAAGAAGACATGCCGACATTTCTCCGTTTATTTTAGAAAGTCGAGCCACGACCACCTCCCCGAGAACTTGCCATTTTTAATATAAAATAAAAAATATAAAATATGATGAAAAGATGTGTATAAAAAATAATTAGAACAAAATAAAATATAATATATAAATAATATAGAATATAAAATAAAATATATTTTTTATGTATATATATATGTTACCGAGCACAATACTATAAACCGAGATTTTACAAAATTAAGAAATGAGAGAGATACTGAGAGAAAGAGAGAAGAGAGGAAAGATTAGAGAGATGAGAGAATTTTTGTGTGAAAAAATGAGGGGTATTTATAGCATTTTTTTTAGTTTTTTTTTTTAGTTTTTTTTTTAATTAAAACTGTTATAACAACAAGTGGAATTTTACCACTAGTAAATGTATTACCTTATCTTATCATTATGCATAGAAGTGTGTGCATTGAAATAATTAATGTTGAAATTTTGCCTATAAAAGGCAAGATAAGAGCTCATTGTATACACACAAAAAATAGTGACGGAAAAGTGAAGAAAGAAAGCAGATTGTAATTGTTCCGGTTTTTATACATTGTGTTCTTTATATTGCTCGCATTTCATAACACGTTATCAGCACGAGCGCTCTACCCGGTCAAGAAAGGTATGATATATATACATATTACTATTATTCTTGACAAGTTAGGCTCTGCCACAGTCAAGGATATATATACATATTGCTATTATTTTTGACAAGTTAGGCTCTGCCACAGTCAAAAGTATATATATATTACTATTATTATTGACAAGTTAGGCTCGGCCACAGTCGAGATATGTATACTAAATATGATATTATCTACACGTTACCATTATTATTGGCAAATTAGGCTATGCCATAGTCAATAATATGTGGTGATATGATATTATTAAATTTGCTTATGAATTATTTTTCAAGTTATAATTAATGTTATTATTTATACTTAACACCCACAAAAATGGTTTACCCAGTAATGTGGCGTGAAATTTATAACTGCTTATTCTTGTACCCACCGTAAAATTTATCAAATAA